GGTTGATATGGACTGATGATATAAAGCTTTATTAAGCTTCCCCCAACCCTTTTATACTCCAGTGTCACGGGGTACTTGACCAGATTTCTTTCTTTAGTACTAAGTCCAATGAATTGTTCCATATTATAAGTCAAGATACAATGATTCTTATAAATTGTGGTTATTCTGTTTTCTGGAATCAAATTATTCTACGTATGGGTACCACCCAGTGCCATTTTGTTCTCTATTTGATGAACCCATTGACTTAGACCCAATCACTATCTGGTTTTTCATATGAACTCTTACTGTCAAGAATTAAAAAAATTTCACATGCGTTTGTGAGTTTTGTGAAAATATTCTAATTAGTCACCGCTATAAAAAGGTAGGTTTGAGTACCATGTACTCATACCTGATCTGGGTGCTAAATATATGAAGATGAGGCAAGGCTAAGACATCTTTGTATACTTGTACATCACATTTAATATATTGCTTTAAAATGACTTTATCACTTTCAATATTGTAACAAGATGCCTCCTATGCCCCAGGTCTTGTATTCCCTTTGACAATACTGTAATTTGTGATCATTCCTGCATAACATTTTCCTCAATAACTTTAAAAAAAATGCTCTGAAGACCATGCTTTAGGACTTCATGCTGAAGAAATGCAGAAAGTTGGGGAAGATGAAATCCACTCCTCTAATTCATAGCTAATGACTGAGTCTATTGCATACACTTCTCACCTTCATGTGGCTCCTAGCTGAACATTCGACCAATAAGATCTATGGTATTGAAAGGCTATGATACCATTCCTTTTTCTTCCCAATCATGTCTTCTATACTGAGCTATAAAGTGACAATATGGAAACCTTTTCTATGGCACACAGGATTTAGGCATTCCTGTTATTCTTCTGCAAACACGGTAATATTTTCTACTATAATTCAAATACCCTTTATACATCTTTTTTAACGTTAAATTATTCAAATTATGATACAAGAAACCAAAACAGGTGCTAGGCATTTTCCGGATAAGTAAGGAGAGAATCCAGTCCAAAATAATCTAATCTAATGCATTCATCATGCAAACAGTTACAAACATGCTAAAGAACAGATTATCCCTATTTGCATAATGAAGGCCTATACAAACAGCATATGAATTTAAAGGGTAAAGGGGATAGGAAACACCTTTCACTAGTGCTCAATATTTTAAATTTTCCTTACTGTTACCTACTCAGGTTACATTTTTAAAATTATTTCTTCATAATAATTCTTAATTTATTATATTTTTTTCAATTATCAAAATGATTCTACAATAGTTGGATTTATTTTAATGATTAAACCCTTCTGCCATTTAAACTTGTGTTACTTTGTTCTACTCAGACCAAGTGGCATTGAAAAACAGCTGAGATTTTCCCTGAACAGATATTTTTTATGACGTACAGAATAATATCCACCCTAATGTGTTCAAAGGTCTATCAACGATTCTGCCAACTAGGTTGGCACCTTCATGACCATATATGGAATTAAATCTTCAGTTATCACACAGGCTATCAGGTGCAGTTAAAGCACCAGAGCAAACAACCAATAAGTTATAAGGACAGCCTTAGTATCCATAAAAAAATAACTTATTGCAGTGCATGACTATTCATTCCACCATCCTGACTGAAATTTTGAACAACGACATCCAACTTACTCTGACTTTAAAGCGAAGTCAAAATTTTCTGGTAAAGGCAGCAGCGGTAGTACAGCAACTGTCTTGGTGTGGTTGGTCCTCTTCATATAGCTCCAGAATGCCCACTTTTCAGGACCACCTTTGTCAGCACTGAACCCGTATTAACAAAACCGACAAAATGATTCTGGTGTGGATCAACACTCCAAGTTTCTCTCTCATAACCAGCTCACAACCAAATGACTAGAGTGGAGGAGACCCCAGCTGTCGCTCTTTTGCTCCAAGTCAAAATTAACTTAATTAAAATATCACCCAGTTCACTCTAAGATACTGTTAAGCAGGCGGCAGGAAGGGCTATAGGACAACATGGGATAGAAGACGACAGAGGATCAAGGGATCAGTTCTTTGTCCCTTATGCAAATGAGAAACGAGGGGGAAGAGAACAGTTCTTAGTGCACAGAACTTGCTGATTCTGGCAGGAAGCTTTACATTTGTGCATACACTGACTCTCAAATCTCACAGTTTTTGCTACTTGCACAAATCCACACTGACATTGGATGGGGGTTATGCACATATCGGAGGTACAGAATAATAAGGATATCACTCACTACACAGATATGAATGGATATATTCTCACTAGGAGAAGAAAAATTTGAACGTGTGTTCAGCCACAATGCACTTCCTCCTTTTGTGCATCCATTTGGGTCATAGTTCCTCAGGCAGAAAGAAAGAACATGGGACACAAAAGTGTGAGACAATGGAATGAGGGAACAAGACAAGGTGAAAAATAGGACAAAGTAGGAAAAGGAGAAATTATATGGAAAGACAACAAGGAGAAGGACATGGGAAAAGGGAAACAGGAGAGCAGGAAGCAATGTGGCAAGGGAAAATGGAAGAAATTATCCTTGACCAAAATATATTATTATCTTGCTCATTGTCTGTTTGTTCTTGGTTATTAAAGATTTTTTTTTTGATGGAAGTCAGAATGTATAGTTCTTTCCCTGAAGACCTCCCTCTACTGGATACTGAAGCAGGAATGGGTCTGGCTTTTGAGGGCCTGTAAAAAGACATGGGGAACACCTCTAGAATTTTTCTCTACTTCAGGTGCCATGGTGGAATTTGAGTACCAGCTTAAGCAAGATCTCATGCCATTAGTACCGTTTAGAGATTTTTAACAGGAGGGCAGAGTAAGCACAAACATATTTACCAATAAGGCTTGAAAAAGGTGGTAATGAGGCTTTTGATCATTAGAAGGTTAAGAGCTATCTTGGGTTCCTGTACAGCACTGCATTATGCCATACAGATTAGGTGTCCCAATTTTACTCCATGTATAGTGTACTCAGAGAAGAGCATCATATGATCCAATACATTTGTACCATTCTCTCATTTTGGTTTACAATTAGAAGAGCAATAAAAAATCCCAGTACCCTGCCAAACTCCTGGAATCTCCAGATAGCTTAAAGTTTCTCCTAAAGTTACCGTCAACTGTTACATTGTTAACAATGCTAACAAATAAAACTGTTTGTCTGTCACAAGTACACCACAACAGGACAAGTCACAAGCGATTACTTCTGCTTTCTGCAGACTTACCAAGACAGTTTGTATTCTTTACAAATATGAAGGCTAGAAAGCTGTTGGACTTTTTATTAAATAAAGTTTAAATTCTGCAGCACCGTGTGCATGAAGGAACTACCACTATAATTCCAGATGTGTTCATTCTGACTTCTGGTCTTCCCATGCCATAAAGTGCCATTGGTCACGCCACAGCTGGAGTACTGTGTCCAGTTTTGGGTGGCACACTTCAAAAGGGATGTGGATAACCTCGAGAGGGGTCAAAGGAGGGCCACTCACATGGTTAAGGGCCTGCAGGCAAAGTCCTATAAGGAGAGATTGAGGGCCCTGGATCTTCAGCCTCTGCAACAGAATGCTGAGAGGTGATCTTGTGGCCACCTACAAATTCATTAGGGAGTGGGGGACAGCAGGGAATAGGAGATGCTCTGGTTACCAGGGCACCCCTTGAGGTAACTAGAAACAACGGCCACGAACTGACAGAGAGCAGATTTAGGTTAGATATCAGGAAGAACTTCTTTACGGTAAGGGTTGCCAAAATCTGGAATGGCTTTCAAGGGAGGCAGTGCTCTCCCCTATCTTGGGGGCCTTTAAGAGGAGGCTAGACATACACCTGGCTGGGGTCGTCTGACCCCAGTGCTCTTTCCTGCCCAGGACAGGGGGTCAGACTTGATGATCTGCTAAGGTCCCTTCCCACCCAAACATCTATGACTACGAATCTATGTAACGCAACAGAGACCATGAAGCCTGTGTCTCCTGTTTGCTGACTGGGAGTGGCTCTCAAGAGTTAACATCTAATATGTTCAATAAGTAGCAAAAAGGGAAGAGAAACAAATGACAATTAATCCCAATTAGGTGTTTCAAAATCTTTTGAAATGTCCCAGTTCCTTATCATGGTATCATGAGGGCTTTGAAAATACTCAACAAACAGAGAGTTAAATTCAGATGTATGAATATGGGCATGCATGCAACTAAGTGCAACCACTTCTGAATAATAATAAAAAAAAGAACTGGTAACCATCACTAACAATTCAATAACAGGAACACAGGCATCCTCGCTCAATTTCCTCAGCTGTTTTACATGCAAAATTCAAAGCATCATAGCTGCAGAAACAGGCACCAGAAACAGAAGCCACAGAGAGGATTTTATTTCAGTGTGTGCTTCTCTGCAACACTACAAACAATGCAGGCAAGACTTCATAAAACAAACACAATAAACTGCCCTCCTCAATAAAGAAAGCCCAAGTCAGGTCACTTCCCTTTAGACAATAACATCCAGGGGAATATGTAGACATCAGTAGACACCTACGAATAAATAGTTTTCTGTGTATTTCCTGAAGTCTGGAAAAAACTGTTTACATACGGAAAGGCAAGAGGCACAAGAGCTCCACAGTCTCAGTCACGTCCTACTGGCTTTCATAAAAAGTGTCTTTAATTTGCCCCCCACATGAGGGAGGAAGTTGACGGGGCGAGATGTCTGACAGGACAGTTGAGGCAGTGCTTTTCCAGCACTTTATCCCCTCTCCCGCCTTACCTAGTACAGCTCGTCTTCTGAAGAATGGACTGTACTTTTTAAAAGCGGCCTCTAGTTTTCGCACATACTATATTAAAAGAGCCTCCCGGGAAGAGCATGGCCTCCCTGGGCACAGAGAAGAGGCTGGAGAAGTTGATCCGTGCCACGAGATCCTGCCCCCGCCACGGGAACCCCCGCGCATGCATCTAACCAGGCAAGGGAAGGGGCGACAAGCGCAGCCCGCTCCCCGCTGCCCAGGCTCTGCCTGTCCCTACCTCTGCCCGCAGCTGCTCCTGCTCCGGCCCCGTCCACGGAGCCTCTTCGGCGGCGGCTACACCAAGAGTTGCCGGGATCCAGCAGACACCTGCTGTGGGCGCCGCCGCATCCCCCGGATAGGCAGCTGCCAGGGCCAATCGCGCTGGGGTGGGCGGGCCGCTCGGAGGCAGCCGGGCGAGACCAGCCAGGTCTAGCTGCTGCCGGGGTCGATGGGGACAGCAAGCACCGGCTTCATCTCCCTGGGGCTCCCACGCCCTGCTCCGCCTCTCGCACGCGGGGGCATCAGGGCTCCTGCGCTCCCGGGGACTAGTGGAGAGCTCAGCGCCCCTCGTGGGGTGGGGTGGGGTGGGACGTGGAGCCGCCTGCAGGCACCTGCTGAGACACCTAGACCCCCCCCGACCCCCGTGCCTTGAGTTACTGAGAGCCTGCCCCACTGCCACGTGTGGAGCTGCTCCGGCCCCCAGAGCCCCCCAGTTACTTCCAGCCGGCGCCGCGCGTGGGACTGGCTGCGCCGCCTAGAGCCCTCGGCTGTGACCGGGGTGACTGAGACCTGCCAGGCGGGGACCTCCTCCCGCCCAGCCGGGACATCTTGAGCTACCTAAATCCCCGCGGGGCGCCCTGCAACCCGCCCATAGCCCGGACTGGCCGGCCTCAGCTCAGGCGCCGCGAGCGCGGGGCGCGGAGTTGGCGCGTGGCCTTTGTGACGCTCCGAGGCCGCAGGGGAAGGCGCGTGTGCTCGTGCCGCGCGCGAACCGAGGCGTCTTGGTCCGCGCCGGCCGCCGTCCAGAGCGCTAACCCCGCCCCCGCGAGCAGTGGCGCGCTGGGCGCGATGGCGGAGCCGGGGCTAGGCATGGCCTCCATGATCCCGGCGCTACGCGATCTGGGCAGGTACGTGCGGCCGGGCGGGCACCTGGGTCCACCGCTCTGTGTCATGAGCGGCCGGGCTACAGCGGTACCCGCGCGGAGCTGGGCAGGCTGGGGAAGCGGCGCCATGGCCGCGCTCAGGGAGGCACCGGTGTTTCCCAGCCTGAAAGCCGGGTCGGGCACCGGGTGGTGATGACGCGCCGCTTCTTCCCCTACAGTGCCGGGCCCGAGGACTACCCCAGCGTGGTGCAGAAGCCCAGGCAGATCCTCTGCCAGTTCGTTGACAGGATCCTCACGGATGTGGACCTGGGTAAGGGAAACGGGGCTTCAGGGCGCACCCCCCGCTGCCGAGAGTGGGGCGAAACTCCCTTGGTTGGGAACAAACCTGTGGGTCTTCTCCTAGCAAAGGCTTAGCAGACCCGTGCGGAAGCAGCTTATTTTTATAATGGCAGAGTTTCTAGCGTAACAGCAGTAGAGTTGAGTGAGCTACAGCTGTCTAAATAAATGCTAGTGTAAGTGCTTGTGTGTGCCTGTATATGTGCATACTTGTGTATGCTTGTGCACGTGCCTCTGCTTGCACATATACTTATGTGTGTCCATAGAGCTAGATCAAGGGGGGGCAGTTATTTCAGGCGGAGGGCCACTTACTCAGTTTTGGCAAGCCATTGAGAGCCGCATGACAAGCAGCCAGGGGCAGGTAAATATTTATTTTCTAAATTTTTTAGGGGCTCCGCGGTCTGGATAAAATGACCTGGTGGGCTGCATTTTGCCCACCCTGATCTACATGTACATCTGCGCATGTGTATGCAGTGCCATGCTAAGGAAGTTTGGTCCCCAGGGCAAAGCCCACAGGAGCAGCTCGCCCTTACCCTTCACACAGCTCACTGGGGGGGCACACATTCCCCTCCTCAGTGCTTGCCTGGGAGTGCATGCAGTGGTCGGAGCTGCCCCTCCCCATCCCCACGTCTCCCCAAATGAGCTGCTCACAGCTCCATCCTGTTGGCGGCGCTTCGCTTTGGTGCCCAGGGCAGTCACCTCATTTGTCTCCAGTCCCTTGCTACAGCACTGTATGTGTGCATGTGCTAGTATATGTACATACATGTATACTGATGTATTAGAAAGCAAGGAGGCTGCATCATAAATGTTCACTGAAGAAATAAATCCTGCCATGCCTTATTTGAACATTGTGCAGGATTGAGTTCTTATTTTTGGCATCTTTAGTTTTTAATTTTAGAATGCTGTTGTGACTTATTGTAGCCCTTGCTAAATCAGAGGTGTCAAAAGATCCAGCCTGCAGGCTACATGCCATCAGTGGAGCCACTGCAGGCTGCATGCGGTCAGTGGAACCATGTCATGTGTAGAGGTGCAGTAATGGGGCAGGCAGTGGAGGGAGCAGCAGAGGTACAGAGAGTGGGTGGGCAGACATAGATTCATAGATTGTAAGGGGCTGGAAGGGACCTCGCAAGATCATTGGGTCCAGCCCCCCTGCACTAGGCAGAAAAGACAACTGGGTCAGGTGACCCCAATGAGGTGATTGTTCAGTCTCTTGAAGATTTCTAGGGTAGGTGATTGCACCACCTCTGGAAGGAATTTATTCCACAGTCTGAACACCCTAACTGGGAAGTAGTTTTTCCTAGTGTTAAGCCTGAAACGGTCTTCCAGGAGTTTGTGGCCATTCCTCTTAGTTTTCCACAAGGGTGCCCTGGTGAACAGTTGTTTGCCGAGCCCTTGGTATAGCGGTAAACTGCTACCAAGTCCCCTCTCAGCCTTCTCTTTTTTAGGCTGAAGAGACCCAAGTCCCTCAGCCTTTCCTCATATGCCTTGCCTTGCAAGTCTCTGATCAAATGGGTGGCTCTTCTCTGGACTCTCTTTAGCTCTTCCCTGTCCTTGTTGAAGTGCGGCACCCAGAACTGGTTGCAACACTCCAGCTGTGGTCTCACCAGTGCTGAGTAAAGCAGAAGAATCACTTCCTTGGTTTTGTTTGAGATGCATCAATTGAAGTATGGCAGAGTATTGTTTGCCCTGCTGGCTACAGCATTACACTGACAGCTCATGTTTATACTATGTTCTATTATTACCTCTAGGTCCCTTTCAGTCGTGGGGTTAGCAGGGCCGTCCCTAAGGGTGGGCAAGTGGGGCAGCTGCTGTACAGGCCCTGCTGCGGCCACTGTGTGCTGCTGGCTCTGCGGTCCGGCCTCCCCACCCCCAGCCTCACACAGGCTGATATGCCCCAGGCTCCACACACCCCTAGGGACAGCTCTGAGTGCTAGTCAGCTGAGCGGCACCGAGCTTGTAAGAATGTTGGGGATTGTTCATCCCCAGATGGAGCACTTTATATTTCTCAATGGTGAATTTTATCTGGTTCCGATCTGCCCAATTTGCCAGCCTGTCTAGGTCCCCCTGTATCTGCAGCCTATTTTGAAGCTTGACCACACTACCCAATAACTTGGTGTCATCTGCGAGCTTGGCCAGTGAGCTCATTACCCCAACATCCAAATCGTTAATAAAGATGTTGAAAAACACTGGACCAAGCATGTACCCCTGAGGGACACCACTGGCCACTTCTCACTGAGGCGACACAGATCCATTCATTAAAACTCTAGGTCTTACCCTGCAGCCAGCTTCCTACCCACATAATTTTCAAGCAATTAAGCCTGTAATCCTCCAATTTTCCTGTGAGACCATTGTGAGATACTAGATCAAAGGCCTTTTGGAAGTCTAGGTAAACAGTGTCAACCTCCTCTCTCTTACCCAGGTGGTGAGTTACCTGGTTGTAGAAAGAGATGAGATTAGTAAGACAAGACCTACTTGCGATGAAGCCATCGCACATAGACTCCTTGAAGAATTTTTCTAGGATTTTCCCTGGGATAGAAGTTAGGCTAATTGGCCTATAGTTGCCTGGATCCTCTCTCCTCCCTTTCTTGAAAATGGGCACAACATTGTCCCTTTTCCAGTCTTCAGGGACCTCCCCAGAGCACCACGAGTTTTGGAAGAGTTTCGCCAGAGGTCCCGCAATGACTTCTGCCAGCTCCTTCAGCACTCTCAGATTAAATTCATTTGGTCCTGTTGACTTATAAATGTCTAACTTTTCTAACTGATCACGTACCAGCTCAATATCAACAGTAAGAAGGCGGTCATTCCCACCATGCCCATTCTGAACCTTCTCTAGTATGATTTTCCCCTTAGTCCAGTGAAATACTGAAGCAAAGTAGTTTTCTCCTGAGTTTCGGCAACTAGCTGTCCTGAGCTGTTAAGCAGTGTTCACACACTTCCGTTTGTTTTCCTCCTGTTCCCTACATCCCTAAAGGACTTCTTTATTGTTCTTGATTTCTGTGGCTAGTTTAAATTCAGTCTCTGCCTTAGACTTTCAAACCTGCTTCCTACAGGTGCGGGCTGTTGCTGTATAGTCTTCCTTGGGGACTGTCCCAAGCTTCTGTTGTTTGTATGCCTCTTTCTTCTTTTTCAAGAGAACCATGATATCCATATTAAGCCAAGAGGGCTTACCAGCCCTTCTGCTACCTTCCCTCTGCATGGGAATGGACTTCTTGTGTGCTTCGAGGATCATGTCCTTGAGGAACATCTACTCTTCATACACTCCTTTCATCTTCGGTCCCTGGTCCTGCAGCGCTTCCCTTACTACCCTACTATTGCCCTGAGCCTGTTGAAATTCTTTTCTGATGTCCAAAACTTCGACCCTGCTAGCTGATTTGCCTGCCTTGCAATGGACAGTGAATGTGATGGTTTTGTGGTTGCTGTCACCCAGGCTACCCTCTATATTCAAGTCGCTCACCAGATCATCTCCTTTGGCCATGACCAAGTCTAGAAGAGCTTTACCTCTGGTTGGCCCGTGTACTTTCTGAGTCAGGTAGACCTCTTCGATACAGGTGACCAATCCAACTTAGCTGAGTGCTCCTCCCAAGAGATGTCTAGGTAATTGAAGTCATCCATAACAACCATGTCCTGTGCGTGTGCGGCCTCTGCCAGTTCTTGAGAGAACTCCAGATCGAGCTCCTCCCTCCGGTTTGGTGGTCTGTAGTATATACCTACAGTTAGGTCTCTCTTACCATTCCCCCTCCTCCCCACCCCCCGAGTTTGACCAAGAGGGTTTTGAGCTGCTCATCTTTGGAGCCAATGTCGGTGTCCAAAGAGGTGTACTGCTCCCTCACATAGAGAGCTACACCTCCACCTTTCTT